CTTGAGCTCCACATTTGAATTTAAACTTGGATTTGAACACAACCATATTTGGCTGTCTTGGAATTCAGTATTAAGTTCAAAGTTGGGAGCATTATTAAAATGAATTTCTGGAATAAACTTGCTCAAACAATAGTATCATTTCAAAATTTGAAGTTTGAACTTTGTAATGGTGTTATTGGTTGTTTGGTTTGCTCATTAATTAATCACCAATTAATTCACAAACAGAGCTAAACTAACTTAATTTCAAAACCCTAACTGAAGATCTGAAAGTTCAGAGTTTGTAGTTCAATCTATCCTTGTTCATGGATCTTTATCTCCTAATCCAGTTAGAATTAGGTGATGTTGTTTAAAGAAAAGTTGGAGATCAAAGCTAGATGAACAACTTTCGTTTTTGGAGCTCGGCGAGTTGCCATTTGGATTTGGGAGAAAAAGGGGGGAGAAGAAGCACTGTCAGGCAGCTACACGGTCGCCGGAGCACTCTGCCTGCCTGCTCGCCGCCGCCGCCGATCGGTTCGCCGCTTTTTCTCGCGCCGGCACGCAGCTGCTTCTCCTGGATGCTTCTCAAGCAGGATCTGGAGGCCCAGAAGCCACCCAGACGCCCTTAAGTCGCCGAGCGGGCCGCCGAGCTCGTCTTCTCCTTTTCCCGTCGCCGTCGAGCGCCTCCAGTTCGTCGGCCGAATACACCGCCACCATTCCACCTCGCCATAATTCACCTTGCAGCCACGCTCGCCATACCCTTGCGCATCCGCCCGACCTGATCGCGCCAGCCCAAGCCGCCGGAGTCGCCCGAGCGCCGTTGTCTTCCCCGGCGTCGAGCAGAGCGCCGCCGTGAGCCCCTCACCGTGGCCAGCCCTCTGTGGCGCACCTCCGCTCCAACCTTGTCGCGTTGCTGCTTCGCCTTGTCGCCCTGTTGCTCATACGTTTGACGGTTTTCGCAGCCGATGTCCAGATGAGCCGGAACGCCGCTGTGTCCGTGAGCCACGTCGTCGCCTTCGTCTCTGACGTTGACGACCTAGCTTCGCCGCCTTACCGGTTCAACCGCCTGGCGTTTTGAAGTCGCGGTGAGCTCCTCGTGCTAACGCCGTCGTCAATTTAGTCTCTACCGGGCCCTTATGGCCGGAGCGCCGCTGCGGCCGCGGTCGTGTGCGTTGCTAGTTCACGCGTGCTTGACAGACCCCTCGGGCACGTTCGCGTGTGTGTGCTGAGTGCGCCGGTGACCTTCGCGTCGCCGGAGACCACGTCGTTGTTCGTCGCCGCTACGCCGGAGCTCCGTTGCGCCGCCATGACGGCGTGCTAGTTGCCGTGCAGTAGAGGTTCAACAGGTAGCTCTAGGAGATGCGCGTGAGCGAGGTGAGTCTGCCGGGGCAAGTCCTGTCGCCGGCGAGGTCGCCGCCGGCAAGGAAACCACCGGTCAACATCGCCTGACCTGCGGTCAGCGCGGGTGCCCTGTTCGCTAACCAGGGGGCCCAGATGTCGGTGACTGTGGCTGGAGCCGAGGTGAGTGAGAAAGGAATTTATTTCTTTATCGATTTTCAGAAAATGCTAATAATTCATAAAACTTGATTAATTCATAACTAAATAATGAAAGCTGATAAAATTTTGAAATTTTTTGTGTGAGCTTTTTATGATATGCTTAATCAGTAGTTTTGCTATGGTTAAAAATTACATCTTTTAATTAATAAATGAACCTTCCATGATTTTTATAGGCTAAAATAATTATCCTTTAAACATGAATTTTTTTGTGTATGTTTAATATGCTTAGATCTGTCTTCACAAAAATTTTGGTACTGTTTTGATAATTATAAATTGTCCACTTAGTTTAGGTATATTAAAATGCCTTGTAATTAATTAAATAAATACCAAAATGACTTCTTTAAATCCTTAACTAGTGTTGATGTGATTTTGGGATTGATTGCGGACCTTGGAACACTAATCTCTTACTGTTCCTTGGCAACTTAATTTGATGCTTGATGTACTCATAATTACCTTGTTAATAATAAACAACCAAGTGCTTTGTGAGTAGTTAACGTAATTAGAAGTGAAGGAAAGTTGTATTTAAGTAATTAATCTTGTTTAGTCTTCATAATCCATGCTTAGCACTTCATCATTCTAAAGCATGCATTTTATTTAGGTTTAGTGAACGAGAGTGGTGAACCTTTGGTTGAGCAAGTCCTAGAGGCGGGCTTTCACTCTGTGGAGGTTGGGTTTGATATCTGTGGTCCATCTGAGGAATCTGACAACCCCAACATTGAAGGCAAGCCCCGGAGCATAAACCCATTCCTTGAGTTTTATAAACGTTAATCACTTGAGTCTTATGCTTGTTGCATTAAGTAAGATTAAGAGTTGATTGATTACCAATTGCTGCATGGCTACCTTGGCATTTCAATACTATTCCTTGTCACCCTGCTAGTTTTCAAAGGTTAGTTATGCTTAGCCATGCTTAGTTGCTAAGAGTCGAATGGTGATTTCATCATTCGCAATGGTCCTATCCTCAGGAGATGTCATGAGTGTTAAATAATGAATTTGCATAACCTGAGACCGGACGTGACATGGAAATGGTCTTTGGTGGTTAAGCCGACAGGGTTGCCTGGTCGTGCTTGTGTGTCGATTAAGGACCGTCCGTTATAGACCTGTGCACGTCGAAACTTTGCAGTACTAGCAACTTACTCCGGTAAGCCTAAGACCTCGGCTATTCTATTATGTGAAAAGCTAACTGCGCACTAGGAGTGGGAGATGGCGAGGGCAGCGTGTACCCACCTTACGAAAACATCACGGATGACGTAGGACGGTGGAGTACTGTATTCTCGGGTAGCGTAGAACAATTCACGTTTTAGAGAATCTGAGTGAAGGTTGATATATGTAGGTCTAGGACCTACATATGTCGTGTGGTAAGGAAACCCTAGCTAGGTCAAATCGATTCGAATTGTCGTGCTTCTAGAAGAAGGAGACTCGATTCTCTTCTCTACATCGTAGTATAATTAATAAAACTTTGGTACTTATGATCACCTGATATGATGGTTACTGAAGCAGTTGAATTAGATCAGGTGCAAATTGGAGACTTGTAATGAATTAACTTGAGCTAAAACATTGAAAGTAAGGATCAATCGTTAGCAAGCTTTTATGCAAAAGTTAATCTTGATTCTTGCTTTAGACTTACCTTGATTCCCCGCAAGCATGCATATCCTTGGAGTTTTTCCCTTTTGTCGGATAAGTCTTGTTAAGTACCTTTGTACTCAGTGTTTGTTAAACCCTTGTTGCAGGTGAGCCTCATCAGCACTTTGGCATGTGCCCCTGCTGCATGACGGTTCTGGAGGAAGAGTCCCAGGAGTAGAAGTTTGTTGTGCACCCTTGGGCAGGGTGAAACTCTTTTGTGTGTTGTAATATACGTGGTACCTGTCATGCTACTCCACTACCTAGATGGCTAAAACTTATGGTTTGAATAACTAAATAAATGGTTTGTAAGACTTTCGCTGTTTATCCGATGTAATATGTTTGTATATTTGTACAAATGTTGTAATACTGCAATGATTCCTGTGATGTATCCTGCTCGAAATGATTACGTTGATGATTTGGGTTTTCCGAGGACAATTGATAGACTTCTAGAGTTGTTTGGCTCTCATGTGCAGCAGTCAAAAGTCTGTAAGACAATGATAGACACATGTGGGCCATATAATCCAGGCGGTTCTGCCATAAGGGGTAAACCGATAGGAGTTGAGGGAGACACTTGCTCATGATTTCGTGCCTATATAGCCTCAGATTTGTGCAATTGAGGCCCCTCAACCTTGTGCCAATGAGGAACCAGAATTGGAATCGACCCAACAGGTGCTGATGATGAGGTGGACAATTGCTCCTGGCTTCCTATTGCCTAGCTTCATTATAAACATCCACAATTTATGGCCCTTGGACCAATCACCAACTGAGTTTGGAGGTAAGTACATATACAACTACTTAGCTTTTAGCTTTAACTTTCCAACTTACGGTTTCTTATGACTATCCATACTTTTAGTGGAGAATATAGTAAATTACCATGCTGCAGCACATGGGAAGCCAATAATTGGACTTGACAATAGAATGATGATGATGAACTCCCAAACGAGGTAGCTACCTCTTTTTTCACTTTGAAGCATATCTATTACTGTCTCCTTGTATCTCTTTATGCTACCATTTATATTTTTTCAAATCACAACTGAAGATCATTTTGCGTTGCGTTAAGAATCAAATTGAGTGATCAAACTGTCTGACTTTACATTATAGAGACAAAATTGAACCTGAGGAAAAATTATGAGGATTGGTGTCGACTGACCACTAATTCATTTAGGAGATTCCTATGGATCAAAACGGACGGAAACGGGCGGGAAGCACTCTCTCCTGTTTCTGTTACTGTATTTTTTCTACCGGTAGCGGGAGGAGTGGGATATATGGGTATACAGAAATGGGTAAACACAAGCGGATATACGATGGAAACGAGCAGTAGATGGGAACATAAGCCAGAATTACATGCAATCATAGATGGTATATAAATTCATCAACAAACATAAAACAATTACAGGATCAACGTAAGCGTGAAACTAGAGATTCCCCATGTAAAAATTTAAGTGGTGTATAAATGTGTGCTATGAGTATAATTGAACCTGTGACTGCGGCTTTCTTTATTGGACTACTAGCTCTATGGCACTTTGAATATAACTGCATCTATGGCACACTTCGTCTTCTTTTAATATATATAAGTCATCCACAAACACCAAACAATGACTAGAACAACATCATGTCTTATTGGCAAGAGTTCCAAATATAAATTCACCATAATAAAGCCAGAACTGCAAATAAGATAGTTTGGGAGATATGATCATTAAATGTAATTGATCCTCTCAGGGATGATCATAATTATTATTGATTTGATTTGCACCATTGTTTGGAGAGCAGAAACTCCATTTCCAAATGCCCCAACTCCGTAGGCATCACCTTAGGAGCATGGTTGGCTCAGTCTCTAAGCAAAACATTTAGTTGAGTTGATCATCAACCATGGACTTGATTTCAACTAACATGTCATGGTATTTTTTCAACTCCTCCAATCCTATTCCTTCAAAGTCGCCATTCATCAAGCGGACCAATTTTGGGTCAATATTCTTCTCTCGGGCCTTCAACTTCTCACCTTGGAGTTTTGTAGCCTCTATCTGTTTCTTCAGCTCTGCATCCTTTTCCACAAAATGTTGCAGTACAGTCATCGTAACAGTGCCTTTGCTATTTCTAGCATCACCTGCAAAGAAACATTCATTATCAGAGTTGATAGAAATAGAATAGTGGTTAAAGTAGTAATGCTTACTGGTTGATGAGACGATGATAAGATCATTACCAGTGTTCTATTTATCCATTCTCGATGAACCCTTCACCATTGACTACTCCAGTACTCAATGTATTCTAGTGTCTTCTATGTATGTGTGAAAATGATGTGCGAAGACTGGTGTAGCAGGATTATGTGGATGCCTTTATATAGAGAATTGTGTTAGGTGGTACTGAATTTTATAAGGCTGTACATTTAATGCATTCCAAATTCAACTATCTAAAGGATAAAAAAAATTCAACTATCTAAAGATTGGATGTATCCAACGCTAGTGGATTGGTTGGTGCTATCATACACAACCAAGGTGCTTTTTATTAGCAGGTATAATTGCGAATATGTGTATATTTAGCAGTATTCGATATGTGCAAACTGAACCGATGAAAATTTGGGTAGGCCCATTCTGGACGAATAGGTAGAAATGAAAGATAATACTGGTGTAGAAACAAGGTGCTTTTTAGCAGGTAATAATTGCACATATGCGTATATTTGGTGGGATTCGATATGTGCAAAACTGAACCACATATGCGAATATTTGGTGGGATACGCCCAGTCTGAACGAATAGGTAAAAATGAAAGATAACACTGGCGTAGAAAGAATGGTGCACATTTAGCAAGTAGTAAATACACATTTGCTACTTTAAAAAAATACACATTTGCGTATATTTAATAGGATTTAGCGTGTCAAAAATTGAATCGTTGAAAGGTTGGATACCATTGGGGAAATGGATCACATCACCCACCTTTGTCCTAGTATGACCTCTAACCATGTGACATTGTAACTGGTCCAGATCTAAAACTAGCTGAAGCCTCAGAGGGGAAGCTCCCAGGGCTCTGAAGGCCTGACTGGGCTGATGTGAGGGTTGACTTTGTGGTTAGTGGAGTCTACCTAAGGCCTTCTGGATGACTTCCCACATCGGCGGAGGCCTCCACACCAGGAGCCTCGTGTGTTGTCCTCAAGAGACTGACACCTAGGGCCCACCAAAAGTTACTAGGACGAGGTGAGCCCATGACACATCACACATTCAAAAGTGTTGGGGTGGCATTGGTTAGAGAGAGAGAGAGCATATGTATATATATAGATATTTAGATATTTTCTTTTCTATATGTCGAGCTCGAGATATCGAAGTTTATTTATGGCGAGGTTCAAAATCTTGAGAAAATCAAGAAAATAAGAAAATCTTTTGTATTATCTCTTATCACTTGCACAAAGTAGAGAGGGAGGGTATTCTAAGGTACCTAGCATGCAGGTAAAATGTGACAAATAGACAGGCATGAAAGATAATACCGACATAGATAAACAGGTGGATATTTAGCAGGTAGAAAATTTGCATATTTGGTATATCATGTTCCGTGTATGAAGGACTATGCAAGTTAATTAAAAACTTGTTTGGTGATTTATGTCACTTTTTTGGTAAGTATTGTTCACTGAAAGTTTTTTACATATATGTGGTAGAAATACATCCATATGTGAGGAGTAAGTGTCCTTAATTAACATATTGTACTTGCCTTGGCTACCTTCATGTTGGAAAACTGGGTTTCCGACAGGTATGAGGCGGTGAAGTCTTCGCTTGGGCGGAGGCCCTAGGCGAAGGCTAAGAAAGTGGTAGATGGGCCCAAACACAATTAGGGTTTGATAAATGAACTCACCAACCTCCTTTACATAGGATCTGGCTCCCCCTTTTATAGGACACTGTTTGCTACTATTTCATTGTACATCTCTGCCCTATGCCAGCTATGGTACATTCCTAGAATATCCTATGACTAGTTCTAATCTTCAGAGGCATCTCGGGTCTTTTACTTCTGCACCGCCTTTGCCTCTTGGGCCTCAGCTGTAGGCCCATGGGAGGCCCATTTCCGCTTCTGGGCCATAGTGCTATAAGAGCTTCCTTCTTTCGGGCGGGATCACATGGCCTTCGCCCGAACCACCCGAGCCTCCGCCTATGCTCTACGACCTCCGCTGGGGAGCTCCTCCGGGTACCTTTGGAGTCTACGCTTAGATCTCCGCCTTTCCGGTGGTCAGAGGTGAAGGCTCTCCTTGGCGTTCCTACATTTTGACCTCTGCCACGCCAGCGGCCAAACCCAAAGGCTCCTCCTGGAATACCTACTATGGGGGTATTGACCCCTATACCCTTATGGCTAGGCTTGGGCCGGCCCGAACCAGGGGGTTTGGCCCACTAGAAGACGACGCGTGGTCCGGCCAATCTGTTCGGAGTCCCGCGCAAGGAATCAAGGCAGATTTAGAGATCAAACAAGATCCTGGTCGGTTAGAATAGGAATCCTTATTCGGCCACCTATGGCAATTGTAACTGGTTAGGATTAGTTTCTAGATCTATAACCCTGCCCCGTAGACTATATAAAGTGGGCAGGGGACCCCTCTACAAAACATCTCTCATTGACATACAACAATACAATCAGACGCAAGACGTAGGTATTACGCTCTCACGGCGGCCGAACCTGGATAAAACCTCGTGTCTGTCTTGTGTCACCATCTTGTTTGTAGCTTTCGCACCTGTCTGCCGATAATCTACTACCTTGGGCATACCCCTGGGTAGACTGCCGACCATATTTTGTCGACAGTGGCGCGCCAGGTAGGGGGTGTGCGTATCGCTTCCCAGAAGAACAAGATGGTCATCATCCCCAGATCCATGGCTACGCCGAACGGCCTCACGTTCACCAACGGCCTCACGTTCACCGTCAGCCAGATCACTTGGACCACGGGCTCCGACAACCTCATCGCCATGACCACGGAGGAGGCGCGGATCCGATCTGCGTCGACCACTGCTTCACCGGAATCGGCTACGGCTTCGACCACGTTGGATCTGGCTCCGGCTGCACCAGCATCGTCTTCGGCCACGCCGATAACCCGTCGCTCGCTTCCCCTCTACAAGGGGAGGCATATCGACAACACCGACCTGCTCGACTCCATCGATCGGGTTGGCACCAAACTTGCCGAAACCCTAGCTCTGGTAAGTTCGATTCAAAGTCAACCTAATGAGCAGGTAACCACTATCCACAATAGATCTACCCGACCAGCTCGGGACAGTCATTCTGCACGACTCGGTACGGATCTCATGGTCACATCTACTCCTGAAGGGCGCTCCATTCATCACCGGCTAGCCCTCGCGACGGGTCTCCGGCTCTCCGAATACGAAACCTCGATGGAGAATTACCAGGCTCAGCCCTACGGCCTGCGAAACACTGCTTCCAACTATGCGTGCAATATGCAACGATCTTGGCCAAGACCACACAACTTAATCAACATGGTCCGGATCGAGGAGTTCCAAGAAGGATCGGTCCACACAGTTCGAGAGGGTGGCTCAAGCTCCCCGGCCAGCACCGCATCTAATGGCTCCATCCACACCGAGTTCCATCATCATGACAATGAGGGCATTGAATATGATCTGGATATCCCAGACCACGCCCCAGGGTTCCCACGATTTATCAAAGGAGGCTATTAGGGTAGAAGTTACACGGCTTTTGGCAGCCGGATTTATCAAAAAAGTGTATCATCCGGAGTGGTTAGCCAACCCGGTTCTTGTACGCAAAAAGAATAATGAATGGAGAATGTGCGTTGATTATACTGATCTCAACAAACACTGCCCTAAAGACCCCTTTGGCTTACCTCGCATAGACGAGGTCGTAGATTCAACCGTCGGTTGTGAGCTCCTTTCCTTTCTCGATTGCTACTCTGGTTATCACTAGATCGCTCTCAAAAAGGATGACCAGATCAAGACGTCCTTCATCACGCCTTTTGGCACCTACTACTATGTGACCATGTCGTTCGGGCTCAAGAATGCTGGGGCTACCTACCAACGCGCCATACAGGCTTGCCTCAAAGACGAGATAAAAGACGACCTTGTTGAGGCTTATGTTGATGATGTAGTTGTTAAAACCAAGGAAGCACACACCCTTGTTGACAACCTAGAGCGTACATTTGCAGCCCTTAGCACATTCCAATGGAAATTAAACCCAAAGAAGTGCATCTTTAGTGTTCCATCTGGTATATTGCTCGGCAACATCGTCAGTCACGACGGCATACGCCCTAACCCGGAGAAGGTAAAAGCTGTCTTGGACATGAAGCCGCCCAAAAAGGTGAAGGATGTTCAGAAGCTTACCGGATGCATGGCGGCCCTCAGTCATTTCATATCAAGATTAGGCGAAAAAGGACTACCGTTTTTCAAGCTGCTCAAAGCATCCGAGAAGTTTGAGTGGTCGGAGGAAGCAGACGCCACCTTTACATAGCTGAAATAGTTCCTTACATCACCTCCGGTCCTCACTGCTCCCAGAGAAGATGAAACCCTCCTGCTTTACATTGCGGCAACTAATCGAGTGGTCTCCACTGCCATGGTGGTCGGGCGTGACGAGCCCGGCCACGTATACAAGGTACAGTGACCAATCTATTTCATCAGTGAGGTACTCATTGAATCCAAGACCAGAAACCCATAGATTTAGAAGCTGATCTACGCCATACTGATTACATCCCGAAAGTTGAAACACTACTTCGACGGATATCGTGTGGTGGTCATGACCGAGTACCCTCTGGGAGACATTATTCGCAACAAGGATGCGAACGGGCGCATCGTCAAATGGGCAATGGAGTTATGCTCTTTCTCCTTGGAATTTGCAAGCCGTACTACAATCAAGTCTCAGGCACTTGTCGATTTCATCGTTGAGTGGACAAACTTAAGCACACCTGCTTCTCAGGGGCCCGCCGAGTATTGGAAGATGTACATCGACGGCTCTCTCAACATCGATGGTGTAGGAGCAGGAGTCCTTTTTGTATCGCCATCCAAGGAGCAGCTTTGATACGTCCTCAGGATTTACTTCCCGGCGTCTAATAACACTGCCGAGTACGAAGCATGCCTACATGGTCTGTGCATCGCAGCCAAGCTCGGTGTTAAACGTCTCTATGTCTACGGAGACTTGGCCCTGGTCATCAACCAACTCAACAAGGACTGGGATACGACCAGCGAAAAGATGGACGCATACTGCAAAGCGATCAGAAAACTGGAGGGTAAGTTCTATGGCATCGAGTACACAAAAAGTGGTCCGGGACAAAAATCAAGCAGCAGATGCGCTATCGAAGTTAGGATCATCCCGAGCCAAAGTCCCACATGGCGTATTGGTTCAAGATCTGCTCACGCCCTCCATCAATGAAGAAGATCCCACGGTCGATAAGCCTCCAGACCAGTTGTTGGTGGCTACGGTTCCGGCATTAAACACCACCAAACCACCTCCGACCGCTAAGGAGCCTGACTAGAGAGTACCTTTTATCAAGTACCTGACAGATGGTAGCGGTTATACCGATCAGATAGAAAACGAATGCCTGATGCGTCGTAGTAAGCAGTATCTGCTCGTCGATGGCAAATTGTGGCGCAAGAACGTGAAGGAGGAAATCTTGATGAAGTGTATAACCCAGGAGGATGGTGAATGTCTCCTAGACAAAATCCACTCCGGCTCCTATGGCAACCACGCGGCCTCGAGAACGCTGGTGGGCAAGGCTTTCCGGACAGGGTTTTATTGGCCGTCAGTCGTGGCCAATGCAGAGAAGCTAGTCCGCTATTGTGAAGGCTGTTAGTTCTTTGCTAAGAGAATCCACGTACCAGCACATGAGATTCAGACCATACCAGCCTCTTAGCCCTTCGCATGCTGGGGACTGGATATGATCGGCCCTTTCAAATCGGCCCCTGGGAAATTTACATGCGTTTTTGTGCTGATCGACAAATTCTCCAAGTGGATAGAGTACATGCCCCTGGTCACGGCATCTTCAGAAAAGGCTATTGCGCTCCTCGACCAGGTCATCCATCGCTTTGGCATACCCAACAGCATCATCACTGATCTGGGTACTCAGTTCAACGGGAACGTTTTTTGGGACTTCTGCGATGAAAGGAGCATAGTAGTAAAATACGTCTCG